CATATGGGTCGCATGTTGGGGTTCCGTGGGGCTGGAAGGGAGCAGGGAGCAGGGAGCACACCTCAGCACCCTGCTCCCAAACCCACAGGCTCTGCCTGGAGTCCCTTCCCCTGCCACGAGAACAGCCCTGGCACTGGCATCCCGCGTTAATGGGGTCTCTGTCTCACAGGAGGTGGGCAATACCAGCCGGGCTACGTGTGCTGACGACAGGCAGGGAGATGGATCGTGGCGTCAGCCTGGAGAACCCCTATGCCAGCGTCAACATCCCGCGGGACCAGTTCCAGCAGAGCTTCATCACTCGCTACCTGAAGGATGAACCCACCGTCATCACCAACCCTGCAGCTGTGCCCACCTACAGCGTGAAGGAGCAGGCGGACCACACCGGCAGCGGAAACAGCCCAACCATTTCCACGGAAAAGTCCTGGTCCCTCCCCTACAACCCCTACGCCAGCCTGAGGATGCCCAACAGGGAATCGCGCAATTCCTTCTACACCATCACCCTGAACAGGCCACCCAAGGGCCGGGAGCAGGAGGCCGAGGCGGGATGCGGTTGCTGCAAGTGCTGCTGCTGCTGCAGAAAGTGCTGCTGCGTCATCTCGTAAGGGCCCTCGCTGCGCCCGCGGGACGTGCTGACCATGGGATGGGGCCAGGTGGACCCGTGGAGACGTGGCTGCCCGGCCTGGGCACCCCGGGGAGCTGCTGCAGTGCCTGGCAGAGCTGGCAGCTGGGAGGTGGCACCGGCCGGACTCTGCCCTTGGTTTTCTCCCATGAGCTCTGCAGCCAGATATGCTGGTGATGGGCACCTGGCAGGTCCTGAGAGCCCAGCGCCGGGTACGGGGGAGAAAGACAGGTCCCCCGTGCCCTGCTGAGGTGTGGGAGCCTTGGGGATGATGGATGGCAACGCAGATACCACCGAGAAGTGCCCACACTGGGGATGGGGCTGCGCTTTGAGCCTGCGATCCTGTGCACTGACCCTGCCAGCCCGCCCTTCCTGGAAAATCTCCAGCTCTGGGGAAGGGGCAGGCTTTGCCCACCTGCCAGAGGGCAGGATCAGACAATGACAACACCGTGTGTGTGGCAGAGGAGGGCATTGTCGTCTCTGTCTTGGAGTGGTGGAGAGGAGCCAGGGACATGCCTCCAGCCGGGATGGCAACACCGTCCCCAGGACCTAATGCAGCATCATGGGGGTGCCACAGCGCCTTGCACGGAACTCTGGCTGGGTACTACCCGTCCTCGCCACGCTGCCCACGGGACAGAGGGAAGGACAGACAGACAAAACATGGCAGAGTGCTGGGGAGCACTGCAGGACAGCACCTGACGGCACAGCACGGGTGCGGGTGTTGATGTCCCAGTGCCAGGAAACCCCCGGCCCCATTCAGTTCCTCCTGCCAGGCTCGCAGGGTGCTGGGCACCACCCCTCGCCCCGTCCCCATCCTGGCTTGGTGCCCTGCACCATGTTGGCTCCAGGTCTAGCGCAGAGGCCTGGCCCAGTGCCAGCAGCGGGGTAGAAGTGGGGCACCCCGTTTGGGATGCAGATCCCCATCGTTCGCCTTCTGCGACCCCCTGGGCATGGAGGCAAGGCGAGCCAGGTGCCCGCTGGCCTCTTCACCGCGTCGTGGGGCGGCTCCGGGCTGGGTTTTTGGCTGGTGCCGCCGACCTGGAACAAGCTGGCTGTTGTGTTGCCGTGCCGCGGGCAGCCGCGCTGCCAGGCAGCAGCTGCGTAAGCACGGGCGGCTGCACAGGAGCTGCCTGGTCTGCAGGGGCTTGGCAAGAGCGCGGGCGTTCGCAGATGACTTCAGGGTACTGCAAATAAAATTACAGCCGTCTCCTCCCCTGCCGAGCTACGCCTCTTCCCTCCGCCCTGGGTTTTCCGGGATTCCCGTGTTTCTTCTTGCTCATCCTGGCCTGTTGTGTAAGGGCAGTGCAGGGGGCACGCAGCCCTCTCCCCCCCCTCAAAACCAGGGTTTAACTGTTGCACCGCTGGCTTGCGGCAGCAGCAGTGCCACGCTGAGCTCTTCTGCTCGCTGCTGACCCGCTGCCAG